CCCCAAAACCCCAAAACCCCAAAACCCCATGTATCTAGATAATCAATAACTGCGCTTAATTAGAAATTTTATTCTTAGATAAATAAAAATGCACGATTAGAAATAACCATATCAAAGAGATTAATCTCCTGATACTGTTAATTCTCATAGTAAGATTCTAAAGAGTCTTAGCGAGTATTCAATCGTTCCAAGCTAAAAACTGAGTGAAAAGCTAGATTTTTACTATGCTCCTTACAGCCCAGTATATAATCTGCATAAATTTATGGAGTTTGGTCCAGTGCTAAACGATAGCAAGCATTATGAAAAGATCAGTCCTGAGTGGTCTAAAATAAAGGAAGTTGTTCTAGAGAGTAATCCTGAGCTACTGACCACAATGATGAGGCAAATGAAAATGCAGCATAAAAACAACAAGGACTTCTTGATGAAACTAAAACTTCTAAATAGACACCCATCTATACTCTAACCAACTCAAAGATAGGAAAACCATTTAAGCTAAGAGGGTAAAAAACTATTATTAGTTTACAGTGATAACAATAACTCCCCTAGTTTTATGCATGACACTTCTCATCATAACCATAACAATAACAATTAAAATGATAACTCTAACTAGTAGATCAATGAGTCAGGCTTAATGAATATAGGTAGAGTCAAGAGATAAAAGAGACTAAAAGCAGTAGGTGCAGGAAGTATCTATGTAGAGGATAAAGGAGAAGATTAAATGATGCATCGGTTAAAAAACCATAAGGAAATCTCTAAGGAATAACTGAGAAACAGAAGGATTGAAAGCTTGATTAAGAGATCGAAGCATCACCAAAATTGCCATATATCTATGTTTGATAGGAGAGCCAAAAGTCAGTTGAAGCTTATGAACAGAACTGACGGAAATGACAGTTTCTCCCCATTGAGAAGTGCCAGCAAGCTCAAGGAATTAGTTTAACAGAAAAATAAGGAAAATGATTAAATGATGGATTTTATTGAAATGGACTAAGAGGAGGTAAAGAAAGATATTGAGAGAAGAGAAGCTGAACTGGCAGTTAGACATCAAAGAATAACCAAAACTTAAATCTAAAGACTCAGACATGAACAGAGATTGAAGCTGATGAAAGGATAAAACTAGAGCTAAGACGCAAGACTTAAAATGAGGGAAAGAGTATAGACTGATATGAACCCCAATCTCAGAAAGCGAGGCTTTAAAAATGATCATCTTCCTGCTATAATGATAGATGATGAGAATCAAGATATCAATCAATATGACTTGCTAGATCAAGACTTACCCGTTAAACCCCAATTTCAAGATTCCCTAGATGATGAATATCTAGAATAACAACAATAATTAAAAGATCTAGAAATTGAGAGAAGAATTTAGAGTTCTCCACCAGCAATGTCAAGTGATGAAGATAACAGAGATGAAGCTTTCAAAAAGCGAGTGAAACAGATTGTTAAGTATAATAATCTTCTTTTGGCTAAGACCTAGGACCGATTTCTTGATAGATTAGCCAAATAAAGTAGTAATTCCAATCTTGATGATGTTATCAGTCTTGTCGAAAAAGAGTAGAACAAGAGACTGCCTTTGCTTCCAGCTAGTAAAAAGTTCATTTCAGACTTTGTGATTATGAATGATATGCCTAAGAGTTCAAGAAATGCAACCACCTCCTAATTGAATCTCAAAAAGAATACTATCAATTCGAATACTTCCACCACTGATAACTTTAAATCATTCGTAAATAGCAATATTCACAGCACAGTTCAAACTCCAAAAATAGTTGGAAATTCAATCACTCCAAGGCTCTACAAGGTCTCCCCACCAAGAAATACTGACTAGCAATAACTGCCAGATGCTTTTTAGGTCAAAATGAGAGACAAATTCATTAAAAAATCTTAGCTTTAGTATCATAAGATTATGATTTCACAATGAAAAGTGAATCCTTGAATTATTTTAGCATTTATTTCCTTGATATCATTAATTTATCTACTTGCGGGGTTTTGGGGTTTTGGGGTTTTGGGG